GTTATATTTAAAGAAGTACTGTTACGATAAAGATACTAATTTGACGGGAAATGTTTTGCGGGTCTCTGTTAGTAAAGCATTATTGTAGAAAACTACACGTATCGACACTGATTGTTGATTTTTGTCATTGTTGACTTAATTCTGATAGTTCACAGAATAAACTTAATAATTTTTACACCAACATATAGTAAGTTTCGTTTTATCCAAGTATATATTTCATCCTTCCTTTATATTAAGTTTTGGTACTTCAAATCTTCCTACGTATCCTCCGCCTATAATTATTTGATCAATAGTTTTTACCTCGTCAATTGCAAAGAACGTTTTTCTTTCGGATTTTCTAATGAATATTTTCCATTATTATTGAGTATCATGATATTTTTCCTCTGGATAAAATGTTTTTTATCTCATGAAGTAAACATTAAAATTCGAATACAGAATAAATAATTCTCTCAAATAAAACCTTGCTAACCGTTGTCTGATTTTGCGAGACAGACCTATGTTTTATTTTTTCGTTACGGGGACAACATGCATACATTAAAAAAAGATTTGAAGAATGGTTGCTAATGCCATTTCTTTCAGTTCGTCAGTATCTAATCCATGCTTTAATTTAGTTTATTATCTTACCTACAAAATAGGTGTTTAACAGTGTTCATAATACTGAATGGTATGTGTTTTAGTTGATATAAAACACTTTCATACCACTATACGGCACTAGGTGTTTAACAGTGTTCATAATACTGAATGGTATGTGTTTTAGTTGATATAAAACACTTTCATACCACTAAACGGCACTAGGTGTTTAACAGTGTTCATAATACTGAATGGTATGTGTTTTAGTTGATATAAAACACTTTCATACCACTAAACGGCACTGGATGTTTAACAGTGTTCATAATACTGAATGGTATGTGTTTTAGTTGATATAAAACACTTTCATACCACTAAACGGCACATCATTACATAAATTTTTATTGTTTTTGTCAAAATAAAAATCACCACCTAAGTACTGAAAACAAATTTTTAAGAAGTTCGAAAACTTTTGTTTTTTAATCTTTATATTTATTTAAATCAGGTCAGCCATTTTAATGCATTACAAAAAGTGATTAACCTAACCTTTTTTGATTCGCTAGTTTTTAAAAGCAAAATTGACAAAATAATTCCCAATCATAAAAACCGAACCTGAATCAACAATGCTTCAATGCCCTAAAGTATTTCAGGAGTTTTCACACTAAACACTTGTGTGAAACTCCGCAGAGTAAAAAGTGACACATTTTTTTTTAAATTTAAAATATACTAAACAAATAAACAAATATGACTTAGATAAACTTGATATATTCTTGTTTGTACATCAGTCAGTGAGGCGTGGCTTATCACGAGTCATCTAATTGGTCCAATTTCTTTTCTTTCTTTTTTTTTAAAGTCAGTTAGGGAACTCACGACTGCTGTAATTGAAGAGCAAAATTGAAATGGTGTTTTCTTAAAGAAAACTTCGGCTGCTTAAGAACAACGTAGATAAACCTCGGAAGTAAAGAAAAGACTTATCAAACTTGAGTGTGTTATTTTATTATCTCACATTATATCTCGGGTTTATTTCAACAGCACCATTTCCAGATGACTTCTGACATCATTCCTTCAAGCACGTTAACGGTGGTTGTGAAAAAATCTACAATATAACTTGGATATTCACGTACTATTTCAAAAAATAGGCAACTTTCCTGAAGTAATCAAATAACAACTTTATATTATTTGATTCAGATGTCATTTGATAACCATTCTTAGATACTACGGTAGAAAATATGAACTAACATCGGTTAGCGTTATAACTGAATGCTTTAGCGTATACAGCTAATTACTTTTGATCTTTCAGTTCTACACTGCAGACCCATTTATCACCTGAACGCTTGATTTCTCACATTAGAGGCGAAATCGTTAGACGTAACATCTCAAACTACCCTTTAGATGTCTGATAAAATTCAGAGTGAGGGCTGTAACATTAAATAGAAAATCAGATGCACAAAACTCCCCTTTAGATACAAAAATAAGAATATAAATTAGACGTAGAGCTTTGTAGAAACACACAACACAAAAGATTCATTAGTCACGATCTTCGTTTGAAAGCTATGTAGAAATAAGAACACTCCCTATCGATCTGTATGCGTTCCCCATTAGCAAAAGAAAGTTAACAACTGAAATTGTATCCGCAGCCAAATTAGGATGAAACATATTAGGTAGTTTTCAAATTATGAATGTAGATTACGTATTAGTATACACAAATACCAATATATGAATATAGTTCCATGTATTTCCTACGGGGACTAATACTATATAAACTAAAATTAATTACCGCAGATTCGAGGTTTTTCTGGCGTCGATGGGGATCAAAGTTTCTGTTGATTAGCTTAAAGCTGAGTAAGTATCTCGTTCTTCCTGTAACAAGAAAAGAAATGGGAGACTATGAAAGGGTATTATAACATTCAGTGTTTTTTTTTTTAGTTGCTTTTCATTAAAGCGGAGTGAAGTTAAAATATAAAACCTCGAGTACAATAGAATTCTCGTAAATATTTTGACTTTATGTGTTTCACATGGGAACAGTTATCATTATTATATTTGTATCTTCGGTTAACGTTAGCAAGTTTGTTAAGTTACTAAAATGTTGTGTGCGCATCCCCCAGTGAGTCAGTCGTAAGTGTACGCACATAAAAACGCTAAAACACGTCGTCCAGTTCTCTGATGGACAGAGTGTTGTTAGTTTACTGTGTAGTTTTGTACTATAAAAAGAAAGGAACAAACTATCTGCGCTAGTTGTACTTGTTTTGAACAGAAAGACTAGAAGAATGGCTGCTCCCACCGCCGATTTGACTGTCACCTTTATAACGCACACACGGCTCCCATTAACAATAAAACTAGTACAAAAGTCTAAGCAAAAATTTTCTGTTGTCATTCAAACACACTTCTATTCATATTTTCAAAGTATCCACAAATTAGTGATTTAAAAAAAGGAAATGCGTATTCTAAATTACTTGGTTGTCATGGTAAGCTGATAACTATTATATCAGTATGCATTTTTTCACTTAATTAAATATATCACAACGTACCTGATTTCTCGCAAGTTTTTAAATCATTTCCGAGTTGGTAACCAGTAGGACAGGTGCAAAGGTAACCAGCAAGTGACAACTTCTTACAGGTGTGGGAACACCCAAGTATTAAGCAGTTCTTCGATTCTAAAACAAACGAGAAAATTCAACAGAAATTTACAATTGTTTCTACCCTAAAGGTTTATTTTTAGACGAAAATGTAAAACAAAAATCATTTTTTAAAGAATTATTAATATTATTTTACAATCTAACCAATTTTACAAACTAAAATAATAACAATATCTCAATAAAAAATATTATGTAGGACACTATCCTATGGATATCTCATCATTGCTGAACACAAAGTCCAGAACAGAAATATACATTAATTTAACATTCCAAACAAAATAACACTAAAATAGTACATTTTTACCAAACTGATTTAACCAATCTTTCAGGTTTCTTTGCCACCCCCAGTGGCACGGCGGTATGTCTGCGGACTTACAACGCTGGAATCTGGGTTTCGATACCCGTGGTGGGCAGAGCACAGATAGCCCATTGTGTAGCTTTGTGCTTAATTACAAACAAGTCATTATATTAAATGCATATAATTAATCAATAAAGGTAAAAATATGCGTTTCCCAGTGTTTGTTACTATTTCCAAGCGCTTCGACCAGTCACAGAGGCACATTTTTGCTTTCTGACTTTGTTTTTGGTTCTGTAATCCGAGTCCTCGCACTCAAGTTTCAGTAATCCCATGACTCGTCTAATGTACCCATTTACTCCAAATAACTAGGAACGAATCCTTAGAGTCAATACGACAGTACATTAATAACGCTTTATTGTTGTTATTAGTAATTAAGCACAAAGCTACCCAATGGGTTATCTGTGCTCTGCCCACCACGGGTATCGAATCCCGGTTTCTAGCGTTGTAAGTCCGCAGACATACCGCTGTACCACTGGGGGGGGGGCATTTCTGCGATGGGCACATCACAGATAGCCCATTATGTAGCCTTCTATTTAACAAGATAAAAAATAGTTTGTTTTTGTTTTTTTATAATACTTTCAATAAGCAATCGTTCTGATAATAAAAATATGAGTTTGTCATATTAAAAAAACAGAGATATTGAAGGTAGAAACATGGTTCAACAGAGATCTTTTCACAGGATTTTTGTCTCGTTCATCGCTATGTGCAAGACGTCTATCTGACAGTTTTACATCATTCGAATCATGTATTCTTTTCTCAGCTGTTTCCAAAATCCAGCTGAGATCAGAGTAAAATCGTTTCTCTGCCAAACACAAAATTTCATAAGTGCTCCTTATACTTTGTTTGCTACAGCTTTGTAAAGACGTAATGATGGTAAGTAATATCAACACCTTAACTTAAGCTTCTCTACTCCTTTGATACAAGACAACTTTGCAGTACAGAAAATTCCCTCATCGTCCATGAGAGTTCAATTTCTCCTCACCTATTTTATTTTAAATACGGTTTGGTTTGGTAGAATTTCGCGCAAAGCTAGACGAGTATAATTCATGTCTTATTTCCATTGCTATATACTTAACACCTTAACTTAAGCTTCTCTACTCCTTTGATACAAGACAACTTTGCAGTACAGAAAACTTCCCTCATCGTCTATGAGAGTTCAATTTCTCCTCACCTATTTTATTTTAAACACGGTTTGGTTTGGTAGAATTTCGCGCAAAGCTAGACGAGTATAATTCATGTCTTATTTCCATTGATATATATATATATTTCGTTTTTGAAGTTGTGCTAAGCTTCATTCGTAGAGATCTAACGAACTAACCTTAAATCACCGGTTTCCGGAATGACTCCCCCGAGATGTTGACAATCTTAAGGTCAGTACTAAAAGATGCTGCGCTGGCTCGTGTAGCAGGTGTTAAATCTCTGTACAAACTATTGAGTTTCATAATAACAAGTTTGACAACATTATAAACAAGTAACGAAATATGTTCCGTTACTAACCAGTTAAAAACTATTACTGAGTTGAGACACAAAAAGGATCTTAATACAAAACTTCATGTATGAGCTCACTCTGATCAAATGGTCAAACAGCACGTGAAAAGTTATCTTTAAAACTTTGTGATGACTGACTTTCCGATATGGATCGCTAGTTTCTAACTGATATTTATTAATTTTACCAACACTTATTCGCTGTTTTAACTTCTCAACATTAGCTAATTTGAACGGTTAGTTTGTTTGTTGAAACTTGCGTAAAAGCTACTCTGGAACTATTTGATCCAGCCATCTCTAATTTTGATGTGAAAGACTAGAAGGAAGACAGCTAGTCAACACCACTCATCGTCAACTCTTGGGCTACTCTATTACCAACGAATAGTGGGATTGACCATACTATTGGCCCCCCAGTGGCACAGCGGTATGTCTGCAGACTTACAATGCTAGAAACCGGGTTTCGATACCCGTGGTGGGTAGAGCACAGATAGCCCATTGTGTAGCTTTGTGCATAAAATTCAAACAAACAAACAAACAAACCATAACATTGTAATACCCCACGACCGAAAGGGCGAGCATGTTTGGTGGGACGGGTATTTGTTTTTAGAAATTATATCCTGTTTGCATTATATATTTGAAATTAATATAATAAGTACATGAAACTAACATAAATATTAGCCTCGTCTCTTTTTACTTCACACTTACTTTTATAACTCCTATACGCTGTGAGTCAAGTATTCATTTAAATACTTTTCTTCTATAATTATAGTGGCCTATTTTGTACTGTTGGATTAGCAGTTTGATTTATTACATTAATATAGAATGGCAGTGACTCCAGTCAAGTTACAAAGATGGAGTCACACTGCAATAACTCAGTATACAGAACCAAACATTTGGCCCAATATGGGATCTTACCATAGCCATTCTAGATGCTCGAATATTACTATCATTACGTTAATAAGCTGAGAAGAACCAGTATGAAAACCAAATTTCCACTGGTAGATATTTATTGGGGAATAGTTTTCCATAGCCGCTAGGTTAAAACTGAGGTATTACCAATGACGTACTAGTATAAAGCACTGTAAATGTGCTGAATTTTTCCCCTGACGGCTGGGATTTGAAACTCACATCGAGTGGAATTCCATTTTTAATTCATTTTGAGATAATACCCGATTAAATGTAATGTATATGCCATAATTAAAAGAAATGAACATTCTAAACGCGATCAAAATATTGATTTTTATTGTTTTTCTTCTTGCACTTTTACTTGTATGAAAGTTAGAATGCTTAAATAAAATATCTCTCCAAAAACGTATTACTAAATAAACATGTGCAATAACATAATTCTAATCATTTTGAATGAAAGACATCTAACTTTTTTTAAAATAGAAAATAATGTAGTTTGCTTTATCGGACTCAAAAATTGTTAAAAAAAAAGCTATTAGTTTCCATGTAAAAAAAATATCCGTGAGTTCAGTAAAGTTATTAGAAAAAAGGCTAGAGAAACACTACAGCTACTATAAACACAGGAACAGACGTTTGTACAAATCTGAAGTGTTTCCTCAGTTCCTTCTAAAGCTGGAATAACACTAATCTTACGTTCCTGAACATATTTAGGCACTCTTTCAGCGTATTAAAAATAGCAACTTCATGATGTTAAAAAAACACGTAGGTTCAAGAAGTCTTGATAGAAATGAATAAAAACCCTGTTTGCCCCTGAAAAAAGAAAGGTCCACCTTTCGAAAGCGCTCGGGTTATAAGGTTTTTATTCATTCCATAAATAGCAACTTGATATATATTCTGGAGTGAGAGAAAAGTTTTGGTTTTCTTTTATATCTCCTTTCTCTTGTTGTGTGCCCCCCAGTGGCACAGCGGTATGTCTGTGGACTTACAACGCTAGAAACCGTGTTTCGATACCCGTGGTGGGCAGAGCACAGATAGCCCATTGTGTAGCTTTGTGGTTAATTACAAACAAACTTCTCTTGTTGTGCAAGGAAAATATAATATATATGCAAACTGGGGATGTCACAAAACAAAGGGAATCATCAATAGCCGCGGCAACTGAAATTCTTTTAGGCAGGTTTACAGTAAATTCATCTTTGAGACCTTTCTTCCCCTTTTGTTTGTTTGTTGGAATTTCGCACAAAGCTACACGAGGGCTATATGCGCTAGCCGTCTCTAATTTAGCAGTGTTAGACTAGAGGGAAGGAGCTAGTCATCACCACCCACCACCAACTCTTGGGCTACTCTTTTACCAACAAATAGTGGGATTGGCCGTCATATTATAACGCCCCCACGGCTGAAAGGGCGAGCATGTTTGGTGTAATGAGGATTCGAACCCGCGACCCTCAGATTGCGAGTCGAGCGCCCTAACCAACTGGACATGCCGGTCCCGTTCCTTCTGTTTATTAGCTATATTTTTGTGCGCTAGCAATACCAAGCATGGGGCGCGCTTATACTCAATTCGATTTTATTACTCCCCAGGATCTCTACCATCCTAGCCTCAAACTGAAATTCTTTTAGGCAGGGTTAAAATAAATTAATCTTTGAGACCTAGGGCGTGGTCAGATATATCGATCTAAAATCTAAATGGTTTAATCTCTTGAGTCCAAAACTGTAATTAGATCTCAAATCAATCAAGAGATGGCAGAGCTGTGAGCTAAACGTTTGCACTTGAAAAACTCAGAGCCATTCTATGAGCCGTTATGCCGCGGCTAAAAATGTTCTTGCTAAGCGAACTCTCATGATTACGCGGCAAAAATATTAATACGATTTTATTAATAAAATTAGCTTTGTTTGATATAGTGGAAAAGTCACTTACTTGTTTTGAAATTAGATTACTAGCTAGTAAGTAATTTCCATTGTTAGAAGTTAGTGAGCTTATTAAACTAACTCGCGAGTGGGTGTTGAACGCGTATTTTAGAGTATGGGATTAAAGAACCCTTATCCCCTCTATCACGTGAGTTGCTTATGTTTAAATTTGAAACTGATACATTAAACACTTCTAGTTTAAACCTTCGATGTGGTTAAGATTCATGGATAAAAAAACAAACAACAACAACATTCTATGAGCTGCTATGCTGCGGGCTAAGAATATCACACAGGTATATTTGGATTTGAACTAGGGCAGACAGATGATTTCACATCTGTAGCACGTAATGTAACAATATTTCAT